ACCCTCGGCGTCGCTCCCGCGCCCCGCTCAGCCAGTGAGCGGGAACCGGCCTGTATGTGGGATCCGAACCCTCGGGCGGGAGCGCCGCCGCGCTTCCCAAGTGGCGCACTTATCCAGTGCGCCACCGGGCCGGCCCCCCCCGTTTATTTTTTAGTTCCCACTTGTGAGTGAGGACATGTGGTATTTCTCTTTCTGTGCCTGGCTTATCTTAACATAATTACTTAACATAATTTTCTCTAAAATTAGAAGTTCATCTATGTTGCTGTGAATGGCAGAGTAGTATTTCTTTGTGTATATATACCACATTTTCATATTTTCCTTAGATTCTAAGATAATTTTGAATAGTAGAAGATACAGCAGGTTATTTAGTAGCATGTAGACAAAACAAATTTAACCACTTTTAAATTGTTCATTATATGCTTTGTCTGAATTCATTTAAACTCTAGGATACAGACTATAAGTTGTTTTTTAGATGTATTCTTTAAGACTATAGTTAATTTTGAAATATCTCATTTGTGGTGAAATCTAGATAGACATAAATTATGTTGCTTAATATTTATGGCCATCAGCTTGAAGCTAAGCTAGAAACAGTCAAGTTACATTTATTTCTACTACCACAAATCTTTTGTTGGAAACATTCTTTCAAAATGAACTCCATGCCATCCCCCCCCAAAAGTATCAATATATGCAGGCTTCAAAAAAAATGGACTAATATTTAATACTAAGGAGAATTAAACTCTTCATGTAACTGCTGGCTGTGAACAATACTAGACCTAAAAATAGGTAAGTCATATTTTACATTTAAGAATTCAAGGAAATATTACCAACTTTAAAAGAAGGGAGGTTAATCTCCATCAAATTATTTAAACTAATTTGGAAAATGCTATTGTTGTTATAAAATTAAATTTTTTTTTCCTTTTTGTCTTTTTTCGTGACCAGTAATGGGATCGCAACCCTCAGTGTCGCGCCCACACCACGCTCAACCAGTGAGCAGACTGGTCTCTATATGGGATCTGAACCCTCGGCGGGAGCGCTGCCGTGCTCCCAAGCACTGCACTCTACTGAGTGCGCCACCGGGCCGGTCTATAAAATTAAATTTTTAAAGTGAGGCTCTGCCACAGCAAATTAGATGATTGTGGTCATAAACAATTAACATTTATGTACACCTGGCTCTAAAGAATGAAGACAGAATCCAATACAAAAGCAAATTCACTCAATCTAGATGCCCTTAGCTGATTAAAAATTCCTGTGCAAAGTATGTTAGACATCCTCATTCAGGGCCAGCCCGGTGGCACACTGCTACAGTGCGCCACTTGGAAGCGCGGCGGCGCTCCCGCCGAGGGTTCGGATCCCACATACAGACCGGCCGCTCACTGGCTGAGCGAGGTGCGGGAGCAACACCGAGGGTTGCGATCCCGTGCTGGTCCCGGTCCGGTACGGGCGCGACACTGAGGGTTGCGATCCATTGCCGGACACGAAAAAAGACAAAAAACAAACAAACAAACAAAAAAAGACATCCTCATTCAGTTACATGTAGAGTTATTATACAAAATAGCAGAAAATCAAAGTGTATAATCAGAACTGGAAATAAATTGACAACAAAGTTGATCAGGTTGAGATTCTGTCTTATTTGTATAGATACAGCCAAGGAAAACACACCTGTTTTAAAGAATTGTATTTTAAATGTAATTAGTAAAGTTATGTATTCAAATGAAATCATGTACCGTGTTATTCAGGATACTTGTTTGTTAAAATCAGTATAGATTATTGTTTTCTTTTTATGAGAAATATGTAATAAAAGCATATAAGAAGACAAAAAGAGTGTGGTTAGGATAATGTGATATATTTTCAGAGACTGATGATTAAATAATGCGTTTTTTGAATTTACTTATCAAATATTTATTATGTTAAATTTTTTTTAAGTTTAGTCACTTCATTTTAAATTAAGAGTATGGAAGACGTTAATAATCACTGAGTAGATTGTGAAAACAGATTGTGCATCTATTAATGAGATTTAAGGGACAAATTAATATTTATTTAAAATGTGTTTATTATAATAAGGATACTTAACATCTTTCTCTAGTTGATGATTAATTAACTATGCTGCATTCATTTTGAAAATATTTATTAAATGTTATGCCACGTGCAAGACATTGTTTTGAGGGAGGAAAAAAGAAACAAAGAAGATATGAGTCTTGTTTTCGAGCAGCTTAGCATCTAATAGGAGAGATCATTCAAGTCCATAGGCAACTAAAAACTAGGAACGTAATACTGTATTTCCTCAAATCTAAGATGGACTAAACCGTAACACATTGTCTTTCACTCCATGTTTATTGGGGGGGAATCAGCAGTGCTGATCGAGATCACAGGAGGTGTAGAGATGAGTGGCACTGCATACACTATGGGTTTGCCAGGCCTGCCAGCAAAGAAATAATGGAAATGGGCTGGAGGAAAAGGCTTGGGAGGAAGCTTTGGAAGATAAGATAGTCAGAAATATAGACAGAAAAAGAAAACTATGATGAGGTAGAGAGAAGAATTCAACAATGGCATTGTAGAAGCTGGAGTTTCAAAGAAAGTATAGTTAGGAAGTACTAATGAATGAGATGAAAAAATTAAAATAACAATTGTGTACTTTAAATATGGTTGCATTTTCAAAAAATATTTTATGATGTCTAGTTTTGTCACAGTATAAGTATAAAAAGCAATCAGTCAACTGTTCAATCTAATTCCTAAATCAGTGCTCTCTTCAGAAAATAGTTGTTTTATTTTTATCTTAAAATTTTAATAAATATATTTTTAATATTAGGCTACCAAGTACTCATGGCACATGTGTACATGTGTTTCTAGCAATAACACCTAGGATCCTTTTAGAAATAAATGTTTCTATTTATTTGTGAATATCAAAGAAATGTCATATTTTCAAAAAAATTTCACTTACCCAATGTAAAAGCCAACTGCCACCTATTGGGACTGGAAACTTCCATACTCAAGGAACACATTTCCTTTTGATTTTTAGTGGTGTATTGTGGGGAGAGGTGAGGAGTTGGGAACTTACCAACTGAGGTTAAATAAAATGACTCTTTTGAGGATTATTCACTTGTTCATTTATTTACTTCATCACTATCTAAATTTCTTTTCTCTCCGGATTTAAAATTTGATTTTGTTTTGTTTTTTTTTGCTCTGAGATGTTGAATATCTGTGTGCATCATTTTTTTCTAGGTTATTCTTTGGTACAAAATTTTTAACAATATTAACATAATAATGAAAATAATTTTTTTGGTCCCGTTGGGAGTTGTGTTTGAAATGCATGTATGGTTAACAAGCCTAGTGCATGCTACTACTGAGAACATCTGCTGCCCTCTGTCATCTGTATTAGTTGCGGTTGCAATGTATGATGTTTCCTTGGTCTCCAAAGCCTACCACCTGCGTCGTGAGGAAACAGATTGGTTTGATAAACCCAGGGAGTCTCGTATGGAAAATGGACATGGTCTGGACCGAAAACTTCCAGAAAGATTAGTCCACTCTAGACCACTCAGTCAACATCAAGAGCAAGTAAGTGCTATATTTAGCAATCTATTTTAGATTTATCAAAAAAAAGAGACAATTTTACCCTAGAATGCTCTCTATTGTCCTAAAATCAATGGGATGTTTGTAAATCAAGTTCACAAACAATTTTTTTCAATAACTTAAAGGAATAAGTAACCAATGTCATCAGCTATGACTGATTGACATTGGAGCTTAGCTGTGTTGCTCCACCAGGCAATTTAAGTGATCGTTCCTCCTACAGATAATTATTAACTTTGTATAACATATCCAGCCCTGCTAACCAAGGAAAATACATGGGTCGCCTAAGGGTTTACAGAATATTGGGTAAAGTAGATTGGGTAATTTTCCATGCTTTCCAATAACAGTGTGTTCATGTGCTAAGAAATGGCAAATAGGAGGATGACCAAACCAAGTCAGCTAGGAGAGAAGAAAGGCTTGCTTTGGGGGTTAAAAGGGAACTGACATTTTAGAGGGTCTATTACTCATATGTGGAAATATCCGTTGTTTTACATTCATTTTTGTATTTTACCTACAGAGCAATTCACATATAGTAGATACCATTAATTGATATATTTTATATATAAATAAACTGAAACTTAGAGGTATATTTTACAATTAGGTAAGTATGATCCCAAAACTTATGATCTTACTCACTTTAGAGACAATGAGGTGATGTTTGAGTTGAATTTTAAAAGATACCTAAGAGACCAACAGTTGGATAAATTGAAGGAGTTTCTTCTGGTAAGCCAGATGACCTTAAATCAATTGACTTAGAAGACCAGAAATTTACAAGCTATGTACTCATTATGATCATTAAAATACCTACAAAAGAGACAGTTGTCTTATTTTGCTTATATTGACTCCTAAATCATCCTGCTTAAGTGAATCACTGATATAGAAGACACCCACATATTGAATAACTAAGACGCATATGAACTTAACTATGATTTAATTCAGTGTTTGCCATATTGTGGTTATTTAAAAAAAAAAAACAAAAAAAAAAACAAGTCTTTTGAATGTATATGAACTGTCTAAAATACATTATCTGTACTCTCATGTTTGATTTCTTCCTAAGCAATTTCAGTTTTCATGAACAAATTTCTAGCTATTTAATAGAATTTTCTTTTTTTGGAATGCTGTTCTGATTTTCTATATACTATCTTATTTTCTTGAAATCTTGGGAGTCTATGTATTATAAATATTTGCTCTTTAGTTTTTGATATATTTAGTACATTTTTTGATGTAGGGTTGTGTTTATTACTATAAGCATGTCAATATACTTCCACTTATGTGTATTTCATTTTAACATGTCAGACAGTACTGATTTATACTTTTCTTAGCTATTCTAATTCTTAAAATTGTATTTATAGTTGTATTTCAACTCTCATCAAATAGACCTGGCTGAGGAATAAGAAATTAATAAAATAGTTCTGACCATGTTTAAAATTCTTAAATTTACCTTTTTTATCTACAATTACTAAAATAATAAATTTGTCCATTGAAAATAACTTCCTTGAATATATTTCATTGTAAGAATCTCTCTGAAATGACATATTTGTTATGTCTTACTCATCTCATTCGTTTCTCTGAAGTTTAGTATTCCCAACAAACCTAGATCAAGTCAATGAAAACACAGATACTTTAACAAAATCATAATAAGATAAATTATATACACTGGAGAGCTAAAAAATAACAACTTTTATACATTTATTACCCAACACTTCTCTTTCCATGAGTACTCAGAATAGTTTTCTTTTCTCAAACTTATTTATTCAACTAGTATTCTTTGAGGATACATTTAATTTGTTTCTACCCAAAAATTATTTTCTAAAATTTTATTCTATTCTATACAGATGAGATGCAGATATCCCTAATGACATTTTTTGTTCCTTATTTTCTGTTACTAATGTATATGGATTTATGATTTTAATCTACTGAAAATATAGTACATCATGTTATGTATAATTATAGACCAAAGTAATGCCAAAATTAATCAGAGAGGGAATATTTGAGAATTATTTAATAAATTTCTTGCTATTTTTGATAAAGTAGAAAACATAAAGATCTTCATTAGGTGAATATAATACAGTAATGTGTATTTTCTGGCTAAAATGAATTTTTTACATTGTCCTAATTTTTTACATTTTAATTCTGATATCTAACATACAAACAAAGATGTATATATACAGTTATAAAAACTGCAAATATGTAATGTTATAAACTAGCTATAACATGAACAGCCATACAATCACCACACAGGTCAAGGAAGGGAACATAGCCTGCCCCCAGAAACCCCCAAGTGCCCCTTCCAGATCATGACCACTCCCTTGCCCAAGCAAGTAACAAAGTAGTGGTCTTTTGTGGCAATAATTTGATTTTCTTTATAGTTTTTTCTAAATAGATGCTACAAAGAAGATAACATATGCTTTAATTGCATAAATGTCAAAAACTTAATTATATATAGTTCAAAATTCATGTTTGTTTGCATTAATATTTACCTTCAAATACTGTCATCCTCTCTACCTTATCATAACTATGTTTGGTGTGGAGATAGAAAAATGGCATTCTTGTTTTATTCACTTCTTTGCATCTCTACTCGTAAAAAGGTAATATTGAGTTCTTAGTACTAGTAAACTCAGATGCTTTTATTTGAAATAGTATGCATAACAAGAATTTATGCTGATAAAATGTTCTGGAGGCAAAAGTAATAAAACCAAATTGACTAATGCAAACACTAATTTATCTGCTTTTAAGAATATTTTATGTAAAACATGCATTAGAGGGATAGAAAAATATTTCTGAAAATTTTTTTAGTCTCATAATCATGTAACTATAAAAGAAATCAGATCTGCAACTCCATATTTGTTTATTTTATAATATATGTATATGTGTTTACCGCTACACTAGTCAATGGAAATTCAACTCTGCTTTGTGAATTGAACAGTTCACTTAACCTTTTATTTTTAAAATTTGTCCTCAGTCCCTTAATCTACAAGTAGGACTAATCCCTTTCACAAGGTTGTTGTAAAGGTCAACACTTCTTGACTATTACAAAATGCCTCCACTCTCTACGCTAATGCGCACCTCCTCTGCAATTCCCATGACACTGCTGCATTGAGGTACAGTGAGTTCCTCAGAAAGAACCACTCTTTCTCTTTATTCTGTACATTTGAATGTTCTGTTTCCTCTACTTGGACACTTTTCCTCCTTTATTCTCTTGGCTAACCTACTCGTCACTCAGGTCTCCATGTACATGCCTGTCTTGCAAGATTTCCCTGACACTACTAACACCACCTCCCCACAAATCGTTGGTAAGTGTTCTTCCTTTGTGCTCCAGTAGTTCCCACACATTATGTCTGAGACCATGAGGTCCTGAACAGCAGGAATTCTCTGTTCCATTCACCATGGTGTATATGTTATATAGTGCCCAGCACAGTGCTAGGAGCCCAAAAGGGCACTCTGTCCCCTGCATGTAGCATGTATGGTATTTAAGTGAGGGAATGGGTGAATGTTTGTATAAGTAAAAGATATGTTAACACAAAACTTATTATTTCATAAATATAAAGGTTTGATTTATAAAAATAATTCCTTTTGAAATATTTGTAGATAGGGAAGAATAACCCTTTTTCTGAGAGGCATACAGATGACAGTTCTGTCAATGCAGAATCAGCAAAAGACAATGACATAACAGAGACCAGCTCCTTGGGGAGGGGGGGGTACCACTTGACATTAGTTCTTCCCCCTGGACTTGCTCTTTTACTTTATTTGGTAGAAGGAACATGTACCTACCCTGTAACTCCATCTGCTAGAGGACTCTCTCCTCATTCACCTGCAATGGTAGAAAAAAGCCGAGATCTATCTATTTTATACATTGGGGACGAATACCTCTGCTTTCTATAGACTTTTGCTCATATTGATCATGATTATGGCAGTTTAATGTTTTTGATTTATTAAGTGGACTCATGAAGTGGTTTAGATAGTCTCTAAAGCCACAAAAGATTTTATGAGATGCTCTGAAAGCAGCATTCATGAAAATGAAGATGTTCAGCATCCTTTCCACTTGCATCATCATAGGTATAAATTAAAAGGCGATCTTGACTAGCAGATAAAACTCTGATGAAAAACTTAGAAAACCTGACTATTCTTCTAAACTGTGCAATACATGCACTATGAGATTATATCCACTTCGCCCCAGTCTGGAAATTAGAAATAATACTAAAGGCAAAATTGTATTTTTTAGGTTTTTTTTGACCAAGTAGGAAAAAAATGACCTTTAAAAATCATTATTAATTGTTATAATACAGGAAATTAGAAGGTATTTGAATTAAAATGAAATAATATATACCAATTTTAATGTATTATCTACAATACTAAAACAAAGGTTAGTTTTCTAATAGCTGTGGAATTTTCGGTGCACATAGTTTAATTTTTAGTAAAAACTAAAGATCTTTTAATGCAGATTAGGAGAGGGTGGAGAAGAGGAAGAAGGTAAGTAAAAGGAGAAAAGATGAGGAAGACAAAGGATAGAAGGTGAGACAGAGAAGCGAAGGAGAAAGAGTAAGGCTTTCTGTGGTTTACAAAGATAGCATTAATATGAATTATATGGATTTTTACAAACCTGTGAACAATATTTTGGTTTTAGTATGCAGAATTCATATAATATATTCCTGGATTTCACAAGATTCTGCTATTTTGGGGGGAGTGTTTTATATTCATCCCAAGCCTGAGTAAGCTTATTCTTTCCTAAAGGTAATAAAAGCTAAAGGATATAATTTTAGCTTGCATTTTTTCAATGCCTATGTAACTTTTAATATCCAGAATTCTAACAATTTTACATCTGGACTTACTAGGGCATATTAAGACAACAGAAATTTTCCAAGGAATCATTTTTTGCAAAATGTACATCTCTTTGATTTCAAATTCTGTTTAATATTTTGGTTTAATATTCCCACACACTTCTTAAGCATATTCTAAAATAGGTAATATAAATGTCTGTCTTTATTAAACTCTATTTCATTGGTAATTTAAGTCAAAAATTTTCCTAAGGCAAAAGATACAAGACTCCATACTGATAAACTTTTATAAATACTATCATTTAGATACGAATTAGTATTTTACTATTTCTATCTTTTATTATTTCACAAATCTCTTTTGAAAGAAAAGTTCCACAAAATATAAAGCACAAGTTTGCATTCGCTAATTTATTTTTGTTTCAGAAACCTCACTTTAGTGGGTAGAAACAGAGATAATGCATTCTGTAGTATTCTCAGGTTCAATTCTCAATAATGAGAACTGAAATCACAGATTGCAACAGTAGCTTTAAGTGTTACTTCTTCTATCTAGTCTATGGAACATCTGTAGTGAATAAGAAATAACAGCATCAGTAATACAACCTTTGAATATAAAGAAGGCTTCAGAAATTATTAGAATGAGCAATAGCTTTATTTACTTATACAGAATTATTCTCAGCATCCAATATACACTGAAACATCTAGTAGATGTGCTCAGCAGAAGTACAATTCCACAATAAAATCAAACAACATAATCATGAAGCAATCCTAATTATGGTGATAGAGATGTGAAATGGTGGGATCTTCTCTGGCTTTTCTCCCATAGCACCACTAATCGCTGAAAATTAAAAATGCCTTTTTGTTTCTAGGCTTTCCAGAGCAAAATCGGCAGCTGGCAATTTTTCATACACATTCTCTATCCACTGTCAACAATATTGACTACATACTCCTGTAGTAACAGACATCCTTCAGAATTTGTTACATGCACTCATTAATTTCCCAAATACAACAAATCAGTTTGCAAGAGCTATTGGTTATAAATGCAAAGACCATAATGAACTCAGAAACCAATAATATTATATAGTGTTAGTGTAAGATGCTTAAATTATCATTTGAGAATCTTCTAATACATTTTACTGACAATCAATGGGCTTTTAAATGAACAAGTCTAATTCTGTTTATTGTACTTGAAGTATCTTTAACATTGATTTTTCACCTTGTCACATGTGTGTATTAGATTATACAGATGAACGGGAAGACTGTGCACTACATCTTTCCTCATGCAAGGATAAAAATAACAAGAGATTCTAAGGATCACACAGTTTCAGGTAAAGCAAATAAAATAATCTAGTTCTTCTTATTCTAATGTCAGATTGACATATATTTGGACTTCAGCTTAGATGACTCATTAAATTTTAGAAAACACCAAGTTTTATATCAAAAATTGTGTTTTGGAAGATGTCAAAAAAATAAGCAGGCTAATACTTGAACATAAAAGATATCAATGACATGATCACTAGCATGAGGAGTTACTAAATGATACATATTTAGATCATTCCTTTCATTAACTGCATTTTTTTTAAAATGTGCATGGTATTACAATGTTCCATAATTCTGCTCTATTTAGTTAATATGTTCACTGGTACCTATGTTCTCACTCAGGTATATTCTTTGTGTTTCATGGACACTGTACGTCAACAGAAATAATTCATAAATGTATATATTCATGTATGGACATATGTATAGGTAATAGATCTAACACGGTATATATGCTGGGGTTTTTTAAAAGCACTGATATAACAAAGAACAAAAGGAGATATTTCTGCAGTGAAATTGCTATTATTCCTTGCAGATTTGAGACCATGGAACATGCAGATGTGGAATAGGTTTTGCTTTGAGCAATTTTCCTCTGTTTATTTTCATAGAGAATGAATCGATTGGGAGTCTAATGTTGTTGTTTTCCTTTTAAGATTAGGTAATTTTTCTTCTGCCAGAGACAGATAATTTAACCTTTCATAATTTTATTGCCATTCAAACTGTATTTTAAGTATTGATGAAAATTCCAGGGGTGAATCTTAAAATCCAGTAGCTCCTTTTGTAGAAGTAATTACTTGCTAAAAACTATTTCACTTCCTCCAGTTCATAAAGCAAAACAACATAATACTTTCCAGAAATGCCAAAATTATCTTCTTCATGAGGTACAATAGAAATCTTCAAACCATTTTTTTCTGTCATCAGAATTTCATATCAAAATATGTTTTCTAACTGTATTATTATTTTTATGCTGTATTAAAAGAATTATCCCCTCAGCCTTATTATTTATCTTTCACAACTCATTATTTGTATTTGTTTTCTTTTACTTCTTGAACTAGCTAATTTAACATATGCACTTCCTCACAGTTATTATTTTTGTGATAAGAACACTTTACATCCACTCCCTCAACATTTTTCAAGAATACAATATATTGTTATTAATTATAGTCACCGTTGAGTATATCTTTTAGAGATGCATACTAAAATATTTACAGATGAAATGATATTGTGTCTGGGATTTGCTTCAAAATTAGCCAAGTATGGAGAATGGTGGAGATATAGATAAAACAAAATTGACCATGATTTGATCATTGTTGGAGCTGGAAGATTAACCACATTGGGTTTTATTATAGTCCTGTCACTACAAATTCCATATGTATAAAATTTTCCATAATACAATTTTGTAAAATTACTGTTTGTTCTCATGTTTAGAGAAAACCAGCTGTGTCCAACAGCTTCATCAACAGTGAAAAAGTTAATGAAGCTAATAATCTAATTGCCTTTGTAAAACAAGATAAAGATGGAACTGAGGAAGGAGTGAAAAATAAAATGTAGTAAACCTCTCCCAAACAAAGTGGAAAGTGGTCATTAGTGAATTTTCATTTTGGCTAAATAAACCCATTGAAAGCAGAAATACTGTGCACCTTTTATAATATTTTAATAAATGGCTCTAGCTGGGTGTAGAACCCATTAAAATATTTTATAAGAATTATATAAAACAAGCACACTTCACAAATAAAAGAAAGAAATTTTATTGGCCAGAAATAAAAATAATTTCAAGATAGAAGATAGGAATAGAGAGTGTTTCTTGATTATTTCCCCTGCGTGGTTCTCAAAAAATGAACAGTGGAACCCTCGTGATCCCTGGGATTCTTTCAGGAGTCCATAAGGTCAAAGCTATTTTCATAGTAATTCTAAAGCAGCATTTGCCTTTTTCACTCTTATCCTCTTGTAAATATACAGCAGAGTGTTTCAGAGGCTACATGTGACATCACAAGAGCTTATACAGAGAAGCAGATTTGAGAATTCAGCTGTCTTCTATTAAGCCCAAATTAAGAGGATTTGCAAAAATGTTACCCTTCTCATATATTTTTGTTTATAAAATTATGTTTTACAAATTATTTTAACATGAAATAAGCTTATTATTATTTAAATACATTCACAAATATTTTTATTGGCAGTTTTAATTTATAATGCACATAATAGACGTGGCTATATTACAAACAGAACAAAAGCTCTTTGAGGTTCTCAGTAGTATTAAAGAGTACAAATGGCTCCTGAAACCAAAAATCAAAAGCTTGAGAGCCACTGCTCTGAAGATATTTGCAGAGAAGGTTAAAAAAAAAAAAAAAAAAAAAAAGGAAATATGTTGTTTTCTCCCCATTAAAAAAAAGAGAAAACCATACAATTCATAAGAAAAATACATTTAGTAAATGTTTCTATAACTCATAGTGGATGAATTTTAAAATATTTATTCATTGATACTCATCCATTTAAAACTTATAGTATGACAAATTGTGTTGAGTGCTAGGTTAATAGAATTAATACAACAAAGACCTTCATCTTCAACTTACTCCTGCTTTAGTAGGAGGACCTAAAATATAAGTAGTTCTTACTATAAAATTTTAGGAACAAGTGAGACAAAAAGCCAAGGAATTTATAAAACTTTATTGTTCATACCCATACCTACATACGTATAAGTGTATTCACACAATACACATACACACCATAATTTATAATTTTGTAATGGTGCAAAGAGAAATACACACCCATACAATCATCTATTAAATGGTCCATAATTTTTATAAAGTAGATCTTTTAACTTTTAACCTATAGACTACAAAGACGTAGTTATAAATGTTTACTAACAACTATACAATGGTTTTGAAAGCCTTTAGTGCTTTTTGAAGCACAAGTGAGCAGAATAGAGAGATAGGTTGTGAGTTTTGGAATCATAAGGATCTGCATTGGAATTCAGCTCTAACTCTTATTTAAATTTTGAGAATAAATGAATTCATCTGTAAAGTAAGATGAGCCCCGTGTATTTGACATAATTGCAAGTGAACCGAACAAAAAATTGTATACTTACTATACACTCAACAAATTCTATTTCCTGCTCTCTTAAAGAGAAATGAACATAGAAAAGGAAATGTAATGCTCAAAAAACTGAGTCTCTGTCTTTTTTATTTAGAACTCTGTCTTATGGCTCCAGAAACACAGCTGTTGAAACAAGCCAAAGAAATTCTTCTGATTTTAAAAAAGGCACTTGCTATGTACAGTTCCATAATGGGCTGGCTACATCTGCAAGGCTAGAAAGACTAATTAGAAATTTTAATAGTGAAAAACATTAAAAATGTTGTTCAGTTTTAGAAGACAGCAGTGTCTTCTTAAAAAATAGTGGCTCATTTTCTATTCCTCATTAGTCATCATCGTTTGGGTTTTTAGAAACAGGAGACAAACTAAAACAGATCTCATTGGATCTTTGTTGGTAGCAGCACCAAATGTGGGTAGCTCTTTATTATTATCATCATTATTTTAACAGACTTTATTGAGGTGTAATTTGCATATCATAAATACCCATGGTTAGTGTATGAATCAATGTCCTCAATAAATTTATGGAGGTGTACACCATGAAAATTTTAGAAATTTTCATCATTACAAAAGTTCCCTTGAGCCTGCTAGCAATTTCTACTTCCAGCAACCCTCACCCAGCTGCAGTAACTACTGTTTTACTTTCTGCCTCTGTAAGTTTGCCTTTTCTAAGCATTCCTTAAAAATGGAGTCACACAATATGCAGTTTTGGTGTCTGGCTTTTTTCATTTAACCAAAATTGTTTAGGTAAGTGTGTTATAGCGTGTATCAGTGTTTGCTCCTTTTTGTTGCTAAATATATTCCATTGCTTGGATATTTTACATTTTCTTTTTCCATTGGATTTTTTTTCCAGTTTATAAAAAAACATTTGCAAGATATTTGCAGAGAAGGTAAAAAAAAAAAATGTAAATATGCTTTATTTTTGCCCCATTAAAAAAAGACTTCATAAAATTTGTATGAAAAATACATTTTGTAAATGTTTCTATAGCTCACAGTGGATGCATTTTAAAATGTTTATTCATTGATATCCATTTAAAACACATGGTATGACAAATTGTGTAGAGTGCTGAGTTAATAGAAGTAATACAGCAAAGACCCTGGTCTTCAACTTACTCATACTTTAGTAACAAGTTTTAGTATGCACACAAGTTTTAGTATGATATATGTTATTTTTGTTGGTTGATTTTTCAAGGTGAGTGTACCATTTTACTTTCCTGGCAGCAATGTCTAAGGATTCCACTTCCTTCATACCATTGCTATAATACTTGGTAAATTCTGCTGTATTTTATGTTGGTGTTGGTGATGTCTTGTTGTTTTAATTTGCATTTCCCCTAATGGCATGATTTTGAGCATCTTTTTATGCATTTATAAGCAATGTATGTGTCTACTTTGGTGAATGCTTATTCAAACCTTTTGAGCATTTTTTATTTGGGCTGTTTTTCTTCTTATTGAATTGAAAGAGTTCTTTATATATTTTGAATACAAGTCCTTTAGAAGGTGTATGATGTGCATGTATTTCCTTCAAGTCTGTCTTGTCTTTTTTTTTTTAAACTGGAGTCTTTTATCGGAAAAGTTTTACATTTTAATTAGTGCAATCGATTTTTTTTTATGGACCGTATTGCTCTTGATAGCATCTTAAGAACTCTTTGAATATCTCAAAGTCACAAAGTAGCTCTCATGTTTTCTTTATACATTTTAGTCTCTGATCTATTTTGTGTTGATTTTTTATATGGTATGAGGCAGGGGTCCAAGTTTTTTTTTTTTTTAACCTCAAATAGACATCTGATCATGCAAGCACTTTTTGTTGAAAAAAATTTTCCCCATTGAATTGCCTTGGCATCTTCGTCAGAAATCAATCTATCATCAGTATAATTGTTTTTGGATTCTTTCTGTTCCCTTGGACTATATGCCTACATGTCAATAC